CCTCCCCTATGCAAGACCTCAAAACCTTTTCTTCACCACTGAAAATCCTCTGGATTTCAGTGGTGAGAAGGCCAATACACGAAGGTTCCCGAAGCTCAACAAAGAAAGCACAAAAAGGGCCAAACAAGGCCTAACAGGGGGTGGACGACTCCCAACACCAAAGTGACCTTAATGAAGTATCTTAAACACAAAAAAATATAACTTTTATATGTTATACACAAAGCCCAAAACAGCATGCAAAGTAAGTTAAAAGCTAGTGCAAGAATGGGAAATATAAAGCAATAGTGCTCACCTTTGAAGAACACTTGAAGAACCAAAACTCCAGCCCCATTTTCTGATCAAAACCAACTCAAAAGCTCCAAGAACAACCTCTCAATACCTCAATAACCAAGGTAAGGTGTAACACTAGGTGTCTTAGTGCAAAACTAAGAACAAAACACACTTTAGGCCCTCTAACACACGCAAATGTAGAGAGAGAGGGAGATATATAGAGAGAGAATGATATATATCATATATCATATGTATAAGTCTAATTTTGCTGAACCTCTTCAAAGGAGAGGGAGGGCGCTCTTATATAGACAAGGCAAAGGCCTAAGCTTACAAGAGAAGCTAAACAAAAGCGGTCAAGGCTTCTTAAAGAAGCTAAGGCTAAGGGGCTAAGGCTTCCTGAGTTAGCTGAGACAGGGGTCCAAGCTTCTTGAGGAAGCTAAGACAAAGGTCCAAGCTTCCTCAAGAAGCTAGACCAAAAGGGTGCAAATGGTGCAAATTCCTCTATACACGTGTGTGGAGGACAGGTCCGTGGATTCCAGCTGGCACAGCTGGCATGCACAATGCCTGAAAAAGATAAAAAGGAGGTATCGGCCAGAGAAAGGGACTATCGGCCAAATAAATGGCCGGCCGACCACACAAAGAGCTGATACACCTAACAGAAGTGCTTACTGACCAAATATTTGGTCGGTAGCAGAAAAAGCAAGGCCGGCGGCTTTATGCCACGGCCGGTGGGTCTTAGGGGATGGCTAACAAGCCACCTCCTACCCTCAGGTGCAAAAACAAACAAGTTCTTGGTCCACAGCCAAGCACAAAACAGTCAAGTCGACAGATCCTAAGGCAAGGCGCGCAGCCGAGTCCTTCGAGATCTCAAAACGAACACGAACATGGATGGTCATCGAGTGTTCAAACGATGACGTCTAAGTCTTGAGGATGGTCAAAATGGGGTGTCTACAGCATGCATGCTCGGTCGCCTCGTTCGGAAATCCGTCGCGATGCCCCGATTTGCCTCTGTTTGCAACTGTTCTCAAAACGTTGCACCAAGCTCCAGAAAGCTTCTAACTCACCTTGGGGACCTGTGGGAGGGCTGCCGACCACCGAAGGGTGTTTCCAGCCACTGGTCGAGCACTTTCTATTGTTGCAGACCAGAAAAAGTGGTCGGCCAGCTAGTTTTTCTGGTTGGCCGACCAGCTTTTGTTGCACTTCTCCAATTTGCTGCAACAGAGAGCAAGAAAGGGCATAGCAATGTATTTGCAAGATATGTGTGCACAACCACCCTCCCTATCATTTCATAAGCTCAAGGGAGTATGGTTCTTGACCCTCGGGCCACCAATTGCGCATTTCAATGCATGATGGCCGAGAAGCCAAATCGCACAATTCAATGTAAAATGAATGCACAAATAAACACATAAAGCCTAGAACTCTATCATGTATGATCAAGAGCGTCGGTGATTGAGAATTAAGGCACGTTTCATCACTTCAAGTATGAAATGTCCCTCGCTTCTCGTGTTTGGATTAACACCCAATCCAAACACAAATGCAACAACAACATGCAAACATGCAATGCAACTACATGGCATACACAATGCAAAGAACAACATGGCATACGCAATGCAATATAACATAAGCATGCAACAACCTGATGCAATGTAACAGCATTCACATAACATGCTCGATGGACTTAAACCAAAATGGACAGACCTCAGTCATGCCCAAATCAGTGGCCATAATGCTAAGAAATAAAAGGCATGGAATGCAAAACAAGCATGCATGCATTGGCCTATTAACGAGGCCTAAGAGCACCACTCTCAAGAGCGCTCAAAGAGTGACAAATGTGGAAGTGTAACAACACCATAAGTACTGAAATTAAGTAAGAAATGATGCCAAATCACTCAATCAACACAAGTATAGCATGCTAGGGTCCTTTAAAGCATAAAGCTAGTAAAGAGGACTACAAAGGGGGCATGCAATATATGGCACAAATGCATGAACCAGCCACAAACAGAGCTCATGTAGGTCAAAACAAAGACTAAGATATGCTGAGATGGGAGCTCAAAGGCCTAAGCATGCATGCATGCACACTTGGCCATAAACAAGGCAACAATGTACAACCCTTAGAGGCACTCAAAGGGGGAAAGAAATGGGAACATGGAAATTCTATATGCTCTGAAATGTCATGATAAATGATGCCAAATCATGTACATGTCACAAATGAAGCATGCTATTGAACTCAAAACTTGAAGCTAGCAAGGCCAAATGCACTACAGCTATGCAATACATGAACTATATGCCCAAGACAACCCAAAATAGTCCTAGATCATGCTAAATCAAGGTTAAAACATATATGGAAGGAAGCCAAAACAAGCTAGCATGAAGGGCCAAAACATGGATCATGCAAGGGCAATACGGAAGATTACTCTACACCTACCAAGACCAAGCATGAAATGGCTTCGCCAACAAAAATAAGAGTTATATTATGGCAAAATAACCCCAAAAACAAACTGAAATGATAGCTCGCAAGCTTAGGCATGAAGGCATACGCAATGACTCATTCCTAAGCATAAAGGACCAACCCTCTAAAGCATCAAAAGAGTGAAAGATGTGAATGCATGAACATGAAACATGAACTGAAATCACATAATAAATGATGCCAAATCATTCAAATAGCCCAAGTAATGCATGCTAGTGGACTCAACACACAAAGCTAACAAGCTAGAACAGATCTAAGGTATGTTAAAACAACACCAAAAACCTACTGAGATGGACTCAAAACAAGCTAGAAAGACATGCTACTTCATGAAGTATACAAGACTAGTTTGTGAGAAATACACTACAAGTGTATAAGGCCTGCATGAGGTGCTCAAGAAAACCAAAAACAGTGGTATGCCATCTCAAAATAACCCCAAATACATGCTAAGAACAAGCCAACACAAGCTTAACAAACATGCTCAAACATGAGGCTAATAAAGCAAGCATTCAAGAACACAAGGAGAGGGGATGACCCTCTCTTATTTGAGACCTTAAAGCACCATTTTCACAACTGAAATTCCTCTAGAATTCAGTGGTCGAAAGGTCATGCAAAGGCTAAAACAAGAGCCAAAAGGGATAGCTCAGAACAAGGCCTAAGAGGGGGGTAGACCACCCCCAACACAAAAATTACCTTAAACAAACATGTTAAGCTTGCAAAATCAGAACTTTTTGCAGTAGAAAGTCAAGCCTAAATCAGCATGCAAATAGGTCCAAAAGCTTAAGCAAAGATAAGGGTTTAAAGGGTTAGAAGATCACCCTTGAAGAACACCTTCAAAGCTACAAGTCCAGCAACTTCTTTGAGCTCAAACCAGTCCAAAAACTCCAAAACAAATCTCAAAGTGCCTCAGCAACAAAAGGATGGTGTTTGAGTGTGTGTTTCTGTGTTAAAGTATGATAAAACTACACTTTTGAGCACAAAAATGAAGAGAAGGTGCGAGATAGATACAAATGTGTATTTATAACTCTCAAGAAACAAAAAACTGAACCTGGAGGAGGAGGGGGGAGGTTCTCTCTTATAGAGAACAAGCAACAAGCTTGTTGGACAAGCTTTTGGCCTAAAGCCATCCCTCCACACGTGTATGGAGGATGGCTTCTATGCCTTCCAGCTGTAACAGCTGGCCTAAAAATATCTCCAAAAAGGTGATTGAAAGCTGCCGACCACTTGAAGTGGTCGGCCAGCTACTTGTAGTGGTCGGTCGACCACCACAAGTGGTCTTCCAAGAAGAAAACTGGTTGGCCATGGTTAGGAGAAGTCTGCACACTGAAAGCAAGCCAATGGTGTGGTGGCCGACTAGAAAAGGTGGTCCAAAGACCAGGAAGACCAGTTGGTCGACCAGAAAACTGGCTGGCGGGGAGGAAAGTGATCTCCAAGGGAAAAAACTGGTCTCCCACCCTTGTACCACCTTCCAAACAAGGAAAACAAAGTTTGTACCAAAAACAAACCAAAAAGGATGCAAGACGAAAGTTTGGGAGGCAAGGCGCTCAGCTGGGAGCCTCGAAAACTAGTCTACATGCATCAAAAGTGGTCTACGACCACAAAAAGTGGTCTCCCGGATCACAGTGTCCCTCTAGGCAGAGGCAACAAGGCATGGTTCGAAAACCAAACCAAACGGAGAACATTAAACGGTCCCGAGACAAGACGCGCGACCGAAGACTCTGAAAATCGAAAACTAGTCTCCAAGCAGGAAAAGTGGTCTACGACCACAAAAAGGGTGGTCCACAGACCTCCTCCTCCCTCTAGGGAAGGAAAACAAGGTTCGGTCCATAAACCGAGCCAAAGCACAAAGAGTTCAGAGACTCGGAGGCAAGGCACTCAGCCAAAAACTCTGGAGACTCGAAACGAGCACAACATGCACAATCACCGAGTGCTCAATCGATGACGTCTGAGTCTTAAGGTCGGTCAAAAATGCGGTGTCTACACTAGGCCGGATATAGCTTACTCGGTTAGCAGGCTTAGTAGATACACAAGTAATCCCGATGCTTCTCATTGGAAGGGCATTGTGCAGGTCTTAAGGTATTTACGCTACACTCGAGATTATGGGCTGCATTATACTCGATATCCAGCGGTGCTAGAAGGCTATAGTAATACGAATTGGATATCAGATATAAACGACTCAAAGTCCACTAGTGGATTTGTGTTCACTCTTGGTGGGGCAGCCGTATCTTGGAAATTTTCCAAGCAAATGCGTTTATCTAGATCTACGATGGAATCAGAGTTTATTGCTTTTGATAAAGCAACGGGAAAAGCTGAATGGCTTCACCATTCCATTGAAGATTTGCCATGTTGGTCTAAACCTGTGCCAGCTATTTATATACATTGTGATAGTCAATCTGCAATTAGTAGGGTACAAAGTTATATGTATAATGGAAAGTCTAGACATATCCGTCGTAGACATAATTCCATTCGACAACTACTCTCAAATGGAGTTGTTCTTACAGACTATGTAAAGTCTAAGGACAACTTTGCAGATCCGCTAACCAAAGGGTTAAACGAGTGTTGGTCGAGACGTCGTCAAAAGGAATGGGGTTGAGGCCTTTGGAAGTTATCGGAATGGAAATTCAACCTAGTTGACTGGAGATCCCAAGATATAGGTTCAATGGTACAACCTAATTGCGTGTAACGGTGGTATGTCACTGAGGAGATTAAACCTCCAGCCATTCCTTCTATCAGTGATACCTACAAGTGTAGAGGTTAAGCTGAGCTTTTAATGACTCTAGTATGTTAAACTATTGAGCTGAGTATAACAGGATACTCGAGTAGAGTCACCTATGTGAGTGTGAAGTGGAGTCGCTTCTAGAAGAATTGGGCAGGCCAAAATTCTTTGAAACCACTCGCTGAACCAGGCTAGTGCCCAGGGCCATACAGGGCACACCAGTGAGAACAGAATGGTGGTAGAAGTAATTCCCATGTGAGATCTATTGTCTCAGTTTACACAAACGGCAGAGCAGTTCAAGATGTCATATTCATTTATCAGCCAATAAACTCGATAGGTTTTCACTGGGAGAGGTTCAAAACTAAAAGCTACCTTCTCTAATGTCGGGGTTAGTTCGTTGAACTCTCTCCAAGTCTTTATTGTTGAATAATGTCCGTTTGTTGAGTCGTTCGATCAATTTTTATTCATGTGGGGCATTGTTGGAAAAAATGATTTTTTGGTGGCTTTAATTAAATGTTAAAGTAGGTCCCAACCGTCTATTGTGTTGGGTCCAAGTGGGTCTAGATACTTTGCAATGAGATCTTTACACAACAAATAGAATGGCCAAAAACCATTGAGAATTGAATGAGAAATTGCCCCATGAAGTTAGCTTCATGAAAGAGTTAATGAGGTTTGTAACTTCTGCCTTTATTGTAGAGTTTAATAGTGCATTAATGGGGTTTGTAACTCCTGCCTTTATTACAGAGGTTAATGGTGCATTAGTGACCAGCCATAAAGACTGGAGGCTTCTCTTCTCTCCCCTATACATGTATAAATGGAGACCCTCCTGTCAAGTCTCAAACACAGAAATTTTTGCTTCCTTTTTACAAGTCAGTTTGCTAGAAAGTTCCTACAGTGAGAGAGTGTTGCCATGGTTTTGTTCGCTAAGTGTAGACGTCCCCGAACGTCTTGGGAGGATGAGTCCCGTTCTGTTCATTTGGGCTCACCACAGTTCAGGACTCAAAGTCACGGTCCTGTATCTAATCTCGCAGAGTGCAATGCAAGACCGATGAATCATCAAAGAGTTCAAATCTGGCAAATCGTTTTTTAAAACAGATTTTTTGAAAGAAGTGCCAAACATGGACTGCTTTGCCAGATACAGAGTCGCCACCTAAATATTTTATTTTGAAAAATTTAGGAAACCCTGACTCGTTGCCTAAGGCCACGTGTTCGTCATCACCAAAGTTGCCTCGGCTCGGGAACTTGGGTACAATTGGGGAAGGTCACTTCGTGAGCACCCCCGCTCGCCCGATCAAAGATCAGTCTCTACTATCCATGATATCAAGTTTTGAAAACATTATGCCTTCTTATTCCGGTTATTAGCCTAGATTTACTACGTGATGCGCACAGCATACAAGTATAGACTAGGTCGCCTGAATTGGAACGAAACATCTCATGTTTGTTTTAAAAACGGTTTGCTACTTGCAAATAGGCTAAAATGTGGATTTGCCACCCTCAGGTGGGCTTAGAAAACATGATGATTTGCCACTCTCAAGTGGGCTTAAAGCTCACAATTGATGAATTGTTCCAATCCAAATAACCCAACCTTCACCCACAAGCATTCAGGCAGGTATATCACATAAGCAATTAGCCTCATGGTAAGCATGCTATCATGGCAGTCACTCACACACATATGGGGATACTAAAGCATAAACACTTACCGAGTACTCCAAGCCAAAACAGAAACTAGTTAGAAATCAATGCATGATCCTAACTATGCAGAAATGCCTAATGCAACACATGCAAAAATGCAACTACAATAGGCTCGGCTATTCTAAGATGGCATATGATGATGCTACAGCTAACACGTATTCAATTTGAAATTGAAATACAAATGCAGTTAGTATGATGCGTCGAGCCCTGGTGTATGCAAGATAGATGAATGATACAAACATGCAAGCATAAGTATGCTAATTGAAACATGCACTAATCTAACCATCATAAGCTGGTAAATAAAAGGGAGAAAGACGTGGGGTTGGAAGACATACATCACACGCACGCACACTTATTACAATTTGCCCTCGCTTGGAGGGTCCGAATAAGTAATACAGTCCGAATGAATAATTACAGTCCGAATAAATAATTACAGTCCGAATAAGTACAAAATCCTAATTAATTAACAACTTAACTAGGAAAGTGGATAAATTAGCATGCAAGCTATGGACCACCTCAGCTCTGTTTCGAATGATGAATGATGCATGTTCGAGTTGCCTTGCGCGAAAATCCATTGCGATGCCCCGATTCACCTCTGTTTACACTTAATCCCGGAATACTGTGCGAAGCTCCAGAAGGCTGTTGATTTCTGATTTGCCGCAACAGAGAGCAAGAAAGGGGCATGACAAAGTATTTCCACATATGTATGTTGACTACTCTTCAGAGAGTGTAGTCCTCGATCCTCGTGCCACCAATCACGCTTCTCGATGCATGATGGCCGAGGAGTCGAATTGCACAACTCGATATGAAATGAATGCACATGAAAACACAACAAGACCTAAACTCCATCATGGGTAATCCAGAGTGTTGGCGATCGGGAATTGAGACACGTTCCGTCACTCGGAGTATGAAACGTCCCTCATTTCCTGTGCTTGGGCTAACTCCTATCCCAAACACGATGCAAATGAGATGGCATACACAATGCGACTAACATACAACCTAGCATGCGCAATACTATGAAATGGCATACATAGTGCTCGATGTAACATGGCATACACAATGCTCTAACATGCAACTCAGCATACACAATGCACTGGACCGAAATGGCATACACAATGCACGATGGACTTACACCAACATGAGTGGACCTCAGCCACACTCACATCAGTGGCCGTTAGATGAAAATGAGACAATCGAAATGCGTGCACATATGCACGAATACCGAGGACCGAACCCAAGGCATCAAATGCCACTCTACCAAAGCATGGCAAGGGATGAAAGATGGCATACAAACATGCAATTTCCAGCACTGAAATATGATGCGCAATGGTCCCGAATCATGGAAATATGGCACCCAATGCAAGCTAAGGGGCCCGGGTACCGAAACTAGTGAAGTGCGTTACACTAGAGGTACCCAAAACAATGCACCAAAGGAAAAACCAACCCAAAAAAGACCCTAGGCAGGTCTGAAACAGTGGGAAATTGACCTAAAATGATGACTCGGAGTGCAACGAAATGGAGCTCATTCAATGGTCGGTAAATGGGGTATACAAGCCCGACTCTCAAACACATTTAAAGAGATGAAAACATGGCAACATGGCATTCAAACAAGCTCTGAAATATGATGAATAATCGGCTCAAAACATGAACACACCTCAGTATATGCATGGAATGGATCTCAAAACTCAAAGCTAAGCATGGACCTTGAACTACAAGCATGCAAAACTAACATCATTCGACCACAAGACCCAAAAATAGAGCTAGGGCAGTCCAAAATAAGCACATTATCAGTTTAAGGCATAGCCAAAATATGCTTGAATCAATGGCCTATAAAGCATGCAAAGAAAGCTAGTGAACCATGAGTTGTTCTACAACTATATGAAGCATATGAGGGCTCACCCAACCAGCTAAAAACAGAAGTATTTCATGCCAAAATATGCCCAAATAACCACTGAAACTCAGTCAACACATGCAAGAATGATGAGCCCCTTTGGAAAGCCATGCGAGGGGTTGTTCTACACATACATGATAGATAGACAAAAGGGCAAAACCACCTCTGGAAATAAGTTATGACAGCTCTAAAACTCACCAAAAAGACCCTGAAATTAGTCTAGGAAGCATTCAATGAAAGGTCCTCTTGAAAGGCCTTGAGGAGGATTGTTCTACACATGCATGAGGGACAAAAAATATGGTCAAAGAGGCTCTGGACAGAGCTATGGCAGACCTTGAAACTCACCAAATTGGGCTTAAAAAGTGACTTCACAACATGCAAGTAAGGGGCCCTTTGGAAGGCCAAAAGGGCCAACAAACAAGACAAGGAGAGAGGGGGTCACCCCCCTCTGATTTTAGCTCTCAAAAACACATCTAAGCCACTGAAAATCCACTGGATTTCAGTGGCTAAGAGGCCAAACCAAGGCCAATGCGAATGCTCTAATGCATAGCCCTAATCATGAGGAAATGAAGCATGCCAAGAGGAAGATGACTCCAAACAGAAAAATGACCTTAATCAAACTTCAAGAGGGGCTCAAAATAAGACCTTTTTTAGTTCATGGAAAATCTTGAAAATGCTTGCAAGTAAGGCTAAGATATCATGCAAAATAAGCCCTAAAAGAGAGATGAAGCATACAAGGATGTAGAAGACCTCAAATAGAAAATTATCCTTAATCAAACTTCAAAATAAGACACTTTACAGTTTATAACAAAACCCAAAAATGCTTGCAAATAGGGCTAAGCTATGGAGCAAAATAATGCAAGAAAAGGAGAAATGGAGACTTACCCTTGTAGCACAGCAATGCAACAACTTCTGGACCAAGTTGGTGAACCTTCAACCCCTGAAAATCAGTCCCAAAGTGTTGGAATGAATGGTAGAGGTGGTAGGCTATGAGGTGTGGTGCAAATGGCGCAAGAATATTAGGGTTTGGAGCTTGGAATAGTGAGCTATGGAGGGAGAGGTGTATAAGCCTTAAACAAAATTGTTCAACCCTTGCAAATGAAGACAAGCCTCTCCTTTATAGAGGAGAGGCTCCAAAGCTTCTCTAAGAAGCCTTAAATATCCTCCATACACGTGTATGGAGGATGGTCCAAATGCCTCCCAGCTGGCACAGCTAGATTGCATTCAAAGAGAGCAAAAAGCAAGAAGCAGGCCGACCAGTTCAAGTGGCCGGCCGGCCGCTTCCCCTGGTCGGCCGACCAGGGGTCAAAAGGTTCAAGGAGAAATGCTGGCCGGCCACCCCAGAAAGGTGGCCTCCCAGATGAGTGCAACACAGCTGTATGGTGGAAAACCAAAAAATATGACCCAGGAGAGAGAAAAGCCAGCTTTTTAGCAAGGTTCAAAAGGGTCAAGAAGAATTACTGGTCGGCCTACCCATATTGGTGGCCTCCTAGATGAGCACAACACAATGGTGGTATGAAAAGCCAGAAATTGTGGCTCAAAAGTGAGAAAAACCAGCTTTTTGTCAGAAAAATCGACTTTAGGAGAGAGAAAAAGAGAAAACTGGTTTCCAAGGGGAAAAGGTGGCCTCCCACCATACTACCACCTCCCTAGAAATGAAAATAGGGTCCCTGCCAAAAATGAACCCTAATCGATGCAAAACGAGGGTTCGGGGGCCAAAACGCGCGGTCTGGGGCCTCGAAAACAGGCTGTTAAGCACTGGAGGTGGCGTACGACCACGAAGGTGATCTCCCGAGCCACAGTGTCCTTATAAAGAGAGGAAACAAGGTGTGTGCCAAAAACAGGAGCAAACGGAGGTAGTCAAGCGGTCCCGAACCGAAGCGCACGGCCAACGGCGCCGAAAATCGAAAACTGGTCTCCAAACGGGAAAAATGGCCTACGACCACGAAACATAGCCTACGGCCACTGAGAGATGGTCTACAAGACCTCTCTCTCCCTTTGGGAAGAGAAAACAGAGAAAACAGGACCTGGTTCGCAAACCGAGACAAAGCACAAAAGAGCCATAAAGTTCGGAGGCAAGGCTCGCAGCCGAGACTCCGCAACCTCAGAACGAGCACAATATGCACTATCACCGAGCACTCAATCGGTGACGTCTGAGTCTTAAGGTCGGTAAAAAATGGGGTGTCTACACTAAGCTAGACAGAAAGTGCTTCTGCCGTAGCTAGTTTTTGATCATCGTATCCTGGAAGACAGACGCCAGAATTCCTCAAGCACTTGACCCATGAGGCGACGAAATCTGTTTTAAGGAAACTACTACCATGTAGGCTTCAATTTTCTTTCTGTACCATTTTATTGTATTGTGTATTTTTGTTGTAATTTAGTTGTAATTCTCAGCATGTGTTCTTGGTATTTTTTTTTAAATTTATTCATGAATCTATTTGTTTAATTTCACAATTTGAACAACATCTCTGAGCCCAAAAAGATTATTCATTGTCTCAAAGTAGGACTGGCTCTGTCTCTCGTCTCATTGTTTTACTATATGAGACCTTTGTATGATGGTGTTGGCGGGAATGCTATGTGGGCAGTTATGACCGTTGTGGTTGTTTTTGAATACATAGTGGGTAGGTATCTTCATTGCTAATATTCTTATTTTTCTTTTTCTTTTTGTTTATGTATTCTTAATCAAATCAGACTGTCTTATTCAGGTGTGAAAAACCCACTAAAATGTCTAAAAAAAGGTCTTTTTTAAAAAAAAAACTAGCAGTACTAGTGGTTGAACTAGTGACTTGCTCAAACCGGAGATCTTTACAATTTTTTTTTAGGGTTAGATTGAAGTTGGGGGCATTATGTAATATATAAAAAAAAAAATTGGCAAAAACATACATATAAATGGAGATTTTGTAGAAGGTTGGAGGGTTAGGACCCCTGACCCCCCTACCTCCACCCTTGATTCTATCCCAGTTCAATTCCGATTGACTTGACAATTGAACCAGTAACCCTTGACTCGATTTTTTCATTTTTGTAAAACCGTTTGAACCAGTGGCTGAACTGGTGACTTGCTCAAACCGGTCCCAATTCACCATGCTGCTTTGGTTAAAAACCCCTCTATATATTCGATCACGGATTTAACCAATATAACTCTTGACCCCGGTCTCTTTTCTGGTTTAATTAAGGTCACTGACAAAAATAACTGCAAACCTTATGTTGATTACTAAATTTTCCAGGAAAATTCGGCTGAGACTGGAAGTTCACTTTTATTGCAGGTGCAACACTCTGCAAAAGCATCAACAGAGCAACTGGAACTTTTCTTGCCAGTTCTCTGGGTATCGGTGTTCATTGGATTGCTACTCAATCTAGAGCAAAATTTGAGCCAGTGATCGCCGGAGTGTTTATTTTTATTCTCAGTGTCTACACATTCGATAATCTTTCTGTGTCTTTTTCTTTTTTCTTTTTCTTTCAGACTTTGCAGTGCTCAAAATGACAATTCGTCCTTTTTTTACCGCTTCAACAGCAACTTTCTCGCGATTCATTCCATCATTCAAATCAAGGTTCGACTACGGTGCCATGATCTTCGTACTCACCTTCAGCTTGGTGTCGGTCTCAAGCTATCATGTAGATAGATTGTTTGCAATGGCACATCATAGAGTGGCAACGATTGTCATTGGAACCACCATCTGCATTCTTACAAGCATGATCTTCTGCCCCGTTTGGGCAGGCAACGAGCTTCACTTTCTCATAAATCGAAACATGGAAAAACTTGCAGATTCCTTGGATGGTATGCACATAAAATCCCAATCATACGTGCATTGATAATGAACATACCCATACCAAACATTAACTTTACAATGGAAATTGAAATTCAGGATGTGTAGCAGAGTACTTCAACGACGATGGAAATGCGAACGAGCAAGATTCCACAAAAAAAGATTCCGGGAAAAAGCTGCTAGGTTACAAACGTGCACTTAATTCAAAGGTGTCAGAGTAAACCATGGTACGTCCCGTGATCATTCTGGTCAAGTGTTGACAAAAATCAAAGATGCAAACTGTAGAGAAGTGGTTTTGGGGATACTCTTCTAATCCTGGGGGACGCTTTTGTTCCTCTTCTAGTCACCTAAAAAAGAATGAACACTCCGACGGGCAAGTCAATCTCAAACTCAAGATTGCTTGTATTCTAAGTTAAGCATAATAATTTTCACATACCTTTCTCAGTCTACTATTCCTCTATTTATACTCGTTCCCTGTGTCTCGGGGCAAGGACCACTTTTCACTCATTATCCTTCTATTCCCTCAGCTCCATAGTTCAATAACTATTCGGGCTATCTATCCATTTTATTCGGCATCCTGAACCGTGCCGGATAGAGCCGGATAGTATCTGACTGGAATATGCTTCTAATTCTTTTTAATATCCGGCTCTCACAATTGCCCCCCAAACACCCCACTAGCATCATCTAGTCGGCGTGGTTGGCTTCTAATCTGGGGAGACTAAAATTCGGCGGTTAATCCTCTTCCCGATGCATGTTGGGGTGCGTATATGCTTTCTGGTCATTATAACGCTTTCCCGCCTCATTCGTGCTTCTCTCGCATTTATTACGATTTGAAGCTTAAGTCCCGTCGAATACATGCTTTTTTGAATATTTCGAACCTTCCGAACTGCCAATCGGTATTTTTTCTCTGGCATTTTCTACAACTCCTATCCGTCTTCTCCTTATTTCCTTTGCCTTTCGTAAGTCTTCTTCTCTTTTCTTTGCAATCCTACTTTCCGTATTTATTTTTTGATTTAGAATATCCTTAAGTCCTTACTAAAATGGCTAAGCATTTGAAAGGCCTCCTCTCCAAGGATCGAATTTCTGGGTTCTGGAGACATTTCTCCATTCTCGATAATGTTCATCTATCTCTAGTAACGGACAATTCCCTTGATATGGAGAGGGACGACCGAAATATAATCGTTTTTCCTCTCCTATCCATTGCGGAGGGCGGAGTTCGCTTTCCCTTACATCCATTTCTTAGGGCCATCCTCCGACATTGGGGTCTGATTCCCTCGTAACCCAATGTGAATTTCTTTCGAATCGTGATGGGAATTGTAGAGTTGAACTGGCGCCTCAGGATCAACCTTGGCATTCTGGCGATTCGGCACTGCTACGCTTTAGCCAAATCCTCCGGTCGGCTCGGTCGTTACTTTCTCAGGGCTAAGGACACCGACCATCATCTGGTAACGATGCTTGACAACTCTGGCAAACAAGTTGACGATGTAATGGTCAATGTCCGAGGTAACTGGGAATTCGGCGAAGGCGAAGATCGCCTAGACCCTATTCTCAGACGGAGGGGTGAACCAGGTTGCCGTGTAACTCCTTGTTTGTTGACCCTTCTTTTATTCGGCTCCTTTTCCAAATCTAATCCTCTGTTTTTGCAGGCAATAAGTTTAAGAAGGTTTTGACCTCGGCTGACGACGCAGTCCTTGCAGAAATTAAGACTGCACTAAAGTACTTTGGTCGTCCAAACGTACAAAAACAAAGTAGAGCCGCCCACATTCTTCTGTGGTATGAGCCTACCTATACTACGTTCTCGGCCGCAGACAACATTCCGATCCCAACCGGCGAACAACACCATACGGCTCTTGTCTTCCCTAACTTCAAGTCTCTTCGGCAAATTGGTCTCAAAACTCCTGATTCGGAGCAAAACTTAGAGCCGGTGATCGAGGTAGTCACCAAATCAATCAGGGAGTTCGCTACCGAGGTCGAAAAAGTTGACGAAGCCTAAAGGTCAGCGTTTGAGGTTGCCGGTCGTAACCAGCCTGACTCACCGTCCACTTCGGGTCGGGTAGAGTTTTCCTTCGGAGATATTTTTATAGACTTGGGGGATCCACCCGGAGATTTTTCTGAAGGCATGGCTGGAGAAAATCTCACGCAGATGGCGAGAAAGAGAAATGCCGAGCGAATGGCCGCCCAAAAAAAGGCGGTGGCCGCTCGTTCTGAGCCTACCCCGGTTGAGTCTTTACAACTCATTACTGAAGGGAAAACGGCTCAAGTTGTTGTGGATGAGACGGAGAAGGAGGCCGAACAGTAGATTACGGAAGAACGACTAGTTCCAAAAGAGCAGGGTGAAAAACGTAACGATGAGGGAGACGTTGGCTCGGAGGATAGCCCTGCTGGCAAACGGCCTTGTTTAGAGGAGTCCGACGTCGTGTTTCCTTTTGTTGTTCAACCAAAGATCAAAAACACGCCAATCTCCGCTGACGCATCTGCCATGAAGGATCCAGCCGTAGCATTGAGCTTGGCCACCTTAGTTTCACTACCGGCTGACAAGGCCACCTTTCAAGAGGAGCCGGATTTGGCAGCTATAGCGTTCGCTGCCCAGTTGGCCCTCCTGGTATGTGTACGATTTTTACTTTTTTACTCATTTGGTTTCGTTTGCATATGATATTCCTTGGTGTGATGATCCCAACCTGTTTTGAAGATGGTTAGAAGGATAGCCGAACTAGGCCGCCGTCAGCATGATGCCATTGAAAGAATTGGCCGCTTAAAGTCTGAAGCTGAAGGCAAAAGGAGCAGGGCCGAGTTCAAGGTGATGAGAGCCACAATAAAAAATGCTCGAGCCGAAGCAGAAAATGAGAGGGCTCAGACTGCTGACCAGCTTAGATCCAAAGCCGAGGATAGGGCGAACGCGAGCGAGGAATCACTCGAGTTAGCCAAGGAGGCGCTTGCCAAGGCAGAGGCCGAGTTAAAGGAGTTGAAGGTGGCCTAGGAAAAAGCCAAATCCGAAGTTTCTACAGCGCTTGAGGTTGGAAGGAGCACCGCCTTCAAGGAATATGCAGACGATGTCCCCAAATTCGAGAATCGGGGATTCAAGCATGGGTGGCTCAAAGCCCTTGCTGCCGTTGGAGTTACATTGGTCGTGCCAATTCCATACGAGTAAGTGGACATTGAGCCGCTTGAGTCTGATCCCGAGGATTGATTTGGGAGACATTCTACTTTTATTAAGTATATTCAATTTCAATTTCAATTTCAATGTACGTTTTTTAGTTTTCATATGTAAAATGTCCACTGCCAGTGCCCAGTTTATGAATGAAAATTTTATATGCTCTCAAATTATTTCTTATATTGTTTGCTATATGAGTGTATAGTTAGGAGAATTAGTAGTTAGAACCAAATGTCAAGCTTGCGTGAGACGGCAGACTTAACAGCTGATTAAAATTAGGGATTTGATCTAATCATAAATAGAATAAATTCATGACTACTGTTCAGACAAATCGATTCGTGGAACGGCTGGGGCACTCAAGCCGTATTGATTGACTAATCTGCCCTTGCCCCAGCTGGTTCATGAACGCAGAACGCTGGGAACTGATTTAATCATAAATAGAATAAATTCATGACTACTGTTCAGACAAATCAATTCATGGAACGGCTGGGGCACTCAAGCCGTATAGATTGATTAATCTGCCCTTGCCCCAACTAGTTCATGAACGTAGAACGCCGGGATCTGACTTAATCATAAATAGAATAAATTCATGACTGTTCAGACAAATCGATGAATAGAACGGCTGGGGCACTCAAGCCGTATAGATTGATTAATCTGCCTTTGCCCCAGCTGGTTCATGAACGTAGAACGACGATTATCACGTAATGAATCTTGTACGGAATAACCGACAAGTGGAATGGCTAGGGCACTCGAGCCGTATAGATTGATTAATCTGCCCTTGGCACTTCAATATTAATGAGACAACCTCGGAGATGCTTCCCTTGTAGGGAATAAATATGCGTGTACATCGTGAATGAGGGTCCTATTTGTGCGCTCAGTGAGCATCTCAGTCCCGCTCTTTAAGGAAGATTAAACAAGTGAGAATGTCAAATAAGCTTTTCTTCAACAGCAGAGATGAAAGGAAGACGCTAGCTGAGCTGGGAGGTGCCATGAATCGAAGCGGTGAACCCTTACAAACGGGTGGTAGGACTTCGAGGGATCGGGAGAGACACCCATCTCCTCGTCGTTGAAGTAGATCGCCTAAGAGGGACAATCAGCCACAGCGTAAGTCTCCTCAGTCCCGTCCTGGAAGGGAATCTGACGTGACTCCTCGCCCATTGAGTTTCGTGGTCTTCGTGGGTAATAGACCAATGACGAAGGCGAATTCGATCATTCGAGATCCAAATGTGGCAATCGACTTTACTCGACAAATTTTTCCACCTGAAGTTCAGCAGTCGATGGTAGGTCGGCCGGACTTTGAAGTGTTTCGTGAAGGCGTTCATGGGGCGGTAAGGGGACTGTACACGGCTTATGAGATTGGCATGCGTCTCCGCGCCGCTCGCCGCGACATAGAACAGAGAGATGAACGAATTCGGAAGTTAGAAGCTCGCGCCGAGAAAGCCAAGCGTGAGCTAAGGAAAATCAAGCCTGTCGGGGCCCAATCAACCAGCCAACCCAACCCGGTTGTCAAAGAAAGGGTCACTCAAAGGCTGACTAGTGATGTGATCGCTGATTGTAATACGGCTAGCTTGTTCGCAATTGAGACTGCGAGAGGCGTGGCCTATGAAAAAGGCTTCCATGACGGCTGACTGGTCGGAATTCAGAAGACCAAAGAGAAACTCGCTGAGGAAGTTTGCCGATGTGAAAATCGTGGCTTTAAGCACGGTTGGATCAAGGCATCTCAATCCACAAAAGCTCTCCAAGCGTCGGGAATTGATTCGGCACTGCCACTCTACCAACGTAATCATTTTCCCTTTTTCGCGTTTGAAGTCGAGAAGAGTGAGGATGAGGGCGAGGTCCAATTAAAATACTATGTAATTGTGTAGTTATTGCCTGATTGAGTAAATCGTCCTATTTTAAATGTTTCATTGTAACCTGCATTCGGCTCACTCGCGTTTGCATACATTTTCATTGTATAAACATTGTCCGGCCCAAGTTAAGTAGGCATTTAATTTCGAACGGTTATATGCCGGCTTGTCATGAGCATTCTTGGTTAAATGTCATTCGTTTCACGCATGATCAATCCGCCGATTAGGCTCTGAATTCGGAGGCTTAATCAGCCCAAAGGTGTCACGCTCCAAGGGCTCCGAATCCGGAAACTGTCAGCCCATCTATAATTGCCATAATTAGTCCATTTTAACCCCAAAAAAGCCAAAAATTAGTATATGGAGCGGCAATGGCCAATATCTACCAGCGTCCGTCTTTTGGGGTTCAGTATAAATGAAAAGGCCTCAGGGTCACCGCAAGGATTAGAAATAAATTACCTCAGACTTTTCGCCCCAGTAATTTCACTTATTGTGTTTAGACTGCTTTAAAACAACTTTGTTGCGCGGGGTCAGACAAATGTGAATTTTCTTCATCAGCAGAAGAGAGGCTCGAACTTTGGCAGAGCTTGATACTATAATGAATCATAGCAGAGAACCCACCCGTGCGAGAGGTGGGGCGTTCAAAGAACGGGAAAAACGTCAGCCTCCAGGTCGTCGAAGCAGATCACCCCGAAGGAAGGATGAGGCCGACGTAGCGTCGTGACTGTTGAATTTTACGGTTTTCGTGGGGAATTCCTTTCTTGTCCCAGATCTTGGCCTTGACATTGTCAATGGCATCAAGGCTCTCTACCTTGAGGGTGATTGTCTCGCCGGTGTGAACATTGTGGATTCAAGCGCGGTCAGATCGAAGCATTTCAAGCTACGGACGCTCTCCAAGCAGTGGGCGTTGATTCGGCGCTGCCGCTGTACCAACATGACTACTTTTCCTCTTTCGCCTTCGAAGCTTGAGAACGGTGAGGCTGAAGGCGACGCCGTATAAAAATAGATATTGTAATGCTCGAACGCGGATTGCGTTTTTGTAATTACTGTTTTAATCGAATAAAATATTTTATTTTAAAAGTCTGTATCTCATTGTGAATTTTTGTTAAGCATCTTATTTCGAGTGTTGGCACGTTTTGTTCTGTTCATGCGGTTGTGCCGGCTCAAACTACATATCCCTGCTTTGATGTGAACCTGGAGGATGCTCTAGTTTGGAGGTTTTATCGGCCCAACGACGTCATGCGCCGAGAGGGCTCCGAATGCGGAGACCAATCGTGAATCCACGAGGGGCGCTCCGAATCCGAAGACTTAATCGGCCCAGCGACGTCATGCGCTGAGGCAGCTCCGAATTCGGAGACTTAATCAGTCTAGCAACGTCATTCGCCGAGGGGCTCCGAATCTGGAGATTTTTTTAGCCAATCGTGATATCCACGAAGGACGCTCCGAATCCGGAGACTTTGTCAGCCCAACAACGTCATGCGCCGAGGGGGCTCCGAATCCGAAGATTTTTTGGCCAATCGTGATATCCACGAAGGGCGCTCTGAATTCGGAGGCTTTATCAGCCCAACAACATCATGCACTGAGGGGACTCCGAATCCGAAGACTTTTTGGCCAATCGTGATATCCACGAAGGGCGCTCCGAATCCGGAGACTTTGTCAGCCCAACGACGTCACGCGCCGAGGGGGCTCCGAATCCAGAGACTTTTTGGGCAATCGTGATATCCACGAAGGGCGCTCCGAATCCGGAGGCTTTATCGGCCCAACGACGTCATGCGCCAAGGGGGCTCCGAATCCGGAGACTTTTTGGCCAATCGTGATATCCACGAAGGGCGCTCCGAATCCGGAGGCTTTATCGGCCCAACGAGGTCATGCGTCGAGGGGGCTCCGAATCCGAAGACTTTTTGGCCAATCGTGATATCCACGAAGGGCGCTCCGAATTCGGAGGCTTTATCAGCCCAACGACGTCATGAGCCGAGGGGGCTCCGAATCCAGAAACGT